CCCCCCCGCCCCTCCCCCTCAACCCCCAGAGAGGAGGACTGTCTCCCAGGTCTGCCAGCTGGCGCTTGCACTGGAGAGACCGCCCAACAGGAACTGGTCAGGAGGATGAGGACTTGGTAGGAGCTGTCGGGGGAGAGGAGGCGGGGGTGGGGGTGTTCTGGAAGCTGAAGGGAGACTGCCCTTTAGGCTGCTGCAGACTGTGGCTGCCCCCATTGGCTTGTATTTGTACGTCCGCCATGTGCTCTCCCCGTGCTTACAGGTCTTTGACATTTTAACAACCTTGGGAGTGTCGATATTATTGTTCCATTTTGCAGATGAGGAAAGTGAGGCCCAGAAGGTTAATGAACTTGCTCAGGAGACACAGCTGGTCTGTGGGCAGCTGGGAGCGGGTCCTGTCTCATGGAGTCGCTGGATTTCAAATGGGGTAACCTGGCATTTAGTGGTCACCAAGTGACTTCCGGGGCCTCGGACGTGATCCTTGTGTCCCAGACCTTCCCCTGGGGCAGGGCTGTGCAAGCAGTGTGGGTTTCGTGGGCTGACCTGAGAACCTGACTGCCTCTCATAATGGGCTTTCTGTGCACGCGGCTGCTGAGACCACACCTCATAGGGGCTGGGTACTGCCTGTTCGGAACAAACACCAGTTTCTAGAACTCGGCCAAATGGCCTCGTTCCTCTGGATTCCCGCCTTCTGTGGCAAGCGGAGCCCGGGGTGGTGGAGGGAAAGGAGCAGATGCTGCCTGCCTGCCACGGGCAGGCACTGCAGAGGCTGTCACACCGCTCCCAGGGCAGCCTCCCTGGACAGCTCCCGCACTTCCCTGGTTGGCCTCCGCCGTCCCCACCAGCGAGGTCCATGAACTGCAGCTCTTTGCCAGCTGGGGCCAGGGCCGCTCCTGCGGGAACACGTCATCCCGCTGGGGTCTCGCAGGCTCTGGATTTGGCTCTGGATTTGTGGTGTACCTCGCCAGCGGGAGGATGCCAAGCTGGGCAGAACAGGGCACCTGATGAAGCCCTGCCTGGTGGAGAGGGGAAGGGAGAGCGTCACCCTGGGCTGCCCCTGACCTTGGAACTGGGGTGGCGTCTGGGCATAAGCAAGAGGGCTTCTTGGAGCCAGGCCCTGGAAGCTATGCCAGGGCCACCCTCCAGGCCTGGGTGCTGCTCGAGGGGCACCTGAGAGGTGGGCAGGCAGATGAGGGGTGGCCCGAGTGCCTGTCTGTGCCCACAGAGCCTCTCGGAGAGCAAGCATCGGAGGCCAGACCCTTTGAGGTCGGAAGGCTGAGGCCCGTCCCCCAGGGCGAAGGCAGTCACAGAGGCGCCCCTCTTCCTCTGCCCTGAGCAAAGACACTGCCCGTCACTCGTGTCAGGTTAGCTCTGCCAGCCCACCGCCCGGAGGAGCGGGGCACGGTGTGGACATGCCAGCCTCGCCCGCCCCACTAGGCCTGCCCACCCTGAGCACCCGTGACGGGGGCTTCCTTCAGGGGGAGGAATCTGGAGTGGCTGGCAGGCCGAAAAAGAATGTTCAAAAGCAAAGCGTGTAGTATGCGGCTCCCTCTGTCTCTCCCCTCTCTGTCTGCTTGAGATCCCCAGCAGGAAGCGCAGACCTGCATCGCCACCTAGTGACCGAGGTGCCGCAGGCCTGTCCTTCCCGCCGCCCGCGGTCCAGCTTCCTCACTGCTCCAGGGACAACTTGCGGGTCAGGGCTTTTCGCCCCCCTCCAGTTTTCCCACTTTCAGGTCTGCACAGTATGCTTACCTTAGGATCTTTTACAAAGGTAGAACCAAATAACATGGTCAGACATTTTCTTAAGAAGCATAAGCATCTCGGAACATTCACACCCACGGGCGAGATGCGCTTGCTTACTCTCTGGGCCCAGGGGCTTCGGGGGCTCGGGTCCGTGGCTCTCAGCTCCGCGAGGCCCGGCTCGTGGCTCCCTGACTTCTTCCCGGTTTCTTTAGGGATGAAATTCATTCAGTGGCGTCCAGCGGGTGAGGCATCGCTGAGCACTGCAGCCCTTGGGGAGCCCTTTCCCTGGTGTTTGTGCCTGAGCAGCCCTGCCCGGGGGCTTCCTGCTGCACCCGGAGCCCTCGACGGGGAGAGAATGTGAGCCTTTTCAGAATCATACCCCAGAGAGACCCGTGTTCCCCCCACAGTTTTAGGAGCTTGCTAGAACTTCTGCTTACGTGTAATTAAAATAAAAACGCAGTCTCACTGCTGCATTTCAGTGACTGGTGGCTCCTGTACAGGACGGCTCAGAACAGACATGCCGTCACCGAAGACTTGATTTTTTTTTTAATTAATAGTAATCTTTTATTTATTTATTTACTTTTATATTTATTTTTGCTGTGTCGGGTCTTCGTTTCTGTGCGCGGGCTTTCTCTAGTTGTGGCGAGCGGGGGCCACTCTTCATCGCGGTGCGCGGGCCTCTCATTATCGTGGCCTCTCTTGTTGCAGAGCACAGGCTCCAGATGCGCAGGCTCAGTAGTTGTGGCTCACGGGCCTAGTTGCCCCGCGGCATGTGGGATCCTCCCAGACCAGGGCTCGAACCCGTGTCCCCTGCATTAGGCAGATTCTCAACCACTGTGCCACCAGGGAAGCCCCACAGACTTGATTTTAAAACCCCTCCCCCGTCCTGTGACTTGTCAGTGTCCCCAGGTGTCAGGGCTGTGGAGGCTGTGTCCAAGGCTCGCGCGGCTCTCGTTTGGGCCTGTGGGCGGCCCCTCACCCGCGTCCAGGTCAGCCTCACCCGGGGCGTCGCTGCGTCCAGAGCGCTTGGGCTCTCCTTCTGCCTGGGGCGGGGGGCAGTGGTGGTGACTCTGTCCCCACTGCAGGCCCACCGCCTCTCGGGGATGGGGGAGGGCCTTTCCACTCACCCCAGAAGCTTCTCTCCTTTGATGATGAGAACGTACAGCTGCAGACGAGCCTCTCAGAGGCGTCCCAGGAAGTCACCCACTCGGCCTTGTCAGTTTACAGGGAGAGACAGGCCTCTCGGGGTTCCCTGTGGGTCTCGCACGGAGATGAGGGTCTTGCCAGCTGCCCCGGCCCACCTGGAGGGTCAGTGGCTGTCCCGTGGGCAGAGCTGAGGCTCAGAGAGACCCATGGTCCCGGGCAAGACGCCGTGTTTGTGTAGGGAGTGATTTGTGCAGTGCCTGGGCCTTGGGGGTGGCCGGCCTCAGGGGACAGCGTCACCCCGGCCTGAGGCACTGTTCCCACAGCTCGGGCGCAGCCTGGCAGAGCACTGTCCTCCCGGGCCGGCCGGCTTGCTCGGAGGGCCGAGGCCCCACGTGGCTGGCACGATGTCCATCAGAGGCCTTCGTGGCTCGTTGAGAGATAGCCTTGCCGGGTGCCCAGTGGCCACCCTTTGAAGCGTCCTCCTTTTCAGCCATCGGGTTCAGACGTAGCCCCTGAACTGCAGTTTCCTGCACACGTGCCCAGATCTCCATCATCCGTGAAGCCCTTCTCCCGCCTGCTGAGGTCCCTGTGTGCCTTCGCCTGCTTTGGGTGAACATCTCTGCCTGGCCTCTCCCGCTCGTGCTGCCAGCCTTGAAGCGGCTCTGGCCGGGTAGCCGGGACTCCGCGTAGCAGTCGGAATGGTTTTAAAAGCGTCAGGTGAGGCACGTACCTGTCTGAGAAGGACCGAGGTACCGCTGAGTGCTATAAAATAAGGACGGTTCCTGAGTCTGGTGCTGACCTCCGGGGATAACCTTGTTAATAGGTTTTCTTGTGTTTTCTTGTGGGAAGATTTTGGGTAAACAAGATCCACTTTGACCTCTGTCCATGGGGCCGTCTTGGTCTTTCTGTGTGATTTACCGCGAAACGATCTCCATGCTCTATTCATGCTCCAGCTTCCTCTCCCTGGCTTCTGTGCTAGTGTCCTGGGGCTGCCCTGACAAATGACCACCAACCGGGTGGCTTAAAACAACAGACAGTCACCCTCTCATAGTTAAGAGGTCAGAAGTCCCTGGTCAAGGTGTCGGCAGGATAGTTCCTTCTGGAAGCTCTGGGTGGGGGCCTGTTCCAGGCCTGTCCCCTAGCTTCCAGCGGCTGCTGGCAGTGTGAGGTGTTCCTTGGCTTGTGGACGTGTCACTCCAGCCCTGAGCTCCCTGCGTGTTCCTGTGTTGCTGTGCCGTCATAAGGCGTCTAAGGAACCGGTCACTGGACCCACCCCAGTCCCACGTGACTTCATCTTAGTCTGCAAAGACCCTGCTTCCAAATAAGGCCATGTATGCAGGTACCAAGGATGAGGAATGCAACAGTTCTTTTGGGGGACACGATTCAATTGCCACGCGCTCTTCTGGGTCTGTAGGCGCACCGAGCATTCAGAGCGGCGAACGAAGCAACTTGGCTGGGTCTGTGGGCACTTGGTTGCGTCGGGCCTGCAGGGTCTCCCGCCAGATCAGGATCACCAAGGGAGACCCCAGGGGTCTGAGTCCTCACCCGGCGCCCCTGGGGGCTGTGGTGTGGATGGGCCTGGGGGCAGCCGGTCTGGGCCCTGGACCAGGAGCCCCGCTCAGCGTGCGTCCATCTCCGCGATCTCACGCCATCCGTCCTCTCTCCCTGCAGGCTGGAGCAGCCCTACTTCAGCGCCAACGCCCAGTTCTTCCAGGCGCTGAGCCAGTGCTCTGCGTTGCAGCGCCTGTGCCTGGTGTCCCGCAGTGGCACCCTGCAGCCCGAGGCCGTGCTGGCCTTCATGGCGCGCTGCCTGCACGTGGTCGTGTGCCACCTGTTCACCGGCGAGTCGCTCAGCACCTGCCGGAGCCTACAGCAGTCCCTCCTCCGCAGGTGAGTGCGCGTCGCGGGGGCTCGGGCGCTGTTCCTCCCTCGGCTTCCCTGGGGGCCAGAGGTTGTTTCCTGGAGTTAGAAAGTGCTGGGCGGTGATGCAGTGAACCCCCTCCCCCTGGCCTTCTCTCTGCCCCGGGCTCAGCTTTCTGCGTAGCGGGAGCCCCCTCTCCCTCGAGCGTGACAGGACCCTCTTCACCATCCAGCCCCTCACGTGTTCCCCTGGCACAGTTGTCGGAGGCGGGAATGCGCACGGTGCTGCCAGTCACCTGCAGCCCTTAGCATCCCGTCCATTTCCCCATCTCGTCCTTGTTCTGTGCAGGACTCACTTCAGAGCCCTCGCCATGCCTGGTCTCCTCGGCCTTCTAGGCTGTGATGGGCGCAGCCTTTCCCTGGCTTTCGTGACCTTTACTCTTGGAGGGCACTGGCCAGGTGTCCGCGTTTCTGTTGAAAATGGCGCATTCATCCTGTGCCTCTGACTGCAACCCTGCATCACAGGGCTCATCACACTTGGCCCCCTTCTTTCCTCGCAGCCTCTCCCTTCAGCAGCAGACGGCCTGGCTCTCCATTCCCTGAGCTGTGTTTGCTGATTTGTCCCGTCCCCCCGGTGTGCGCGTGGGGCAGCTGCTCTGCTCCTGGGGGTGGCACCCAGGTTGCCCCATCAAACACCGTCTTCGAGTGACCTGGGGCCGGCCTCTTCCCGTCTCCCTCAGCCTGGCCATGTTCCTCGCGCCCACTGCCTCGGACTCCACTTTGCATTCACCCCACGTCCTGCTTGGCTTGCTTCCTTGTTTTTCTGGTGTTCGAAGCCTTACTGAAGTCGGAGGGTCAGAGCTCTTGTGAGGGCCACCCCTCAGCCTCCTCCTGTCCCCATCCCCCCATACCCAGAGACAAATGTTCCCGGTTCTCAGTTACCCTTCCTATGTTTCTTTTGTAGGATTAGCAGGTACACAAATGTTTTCCCGATCCCCTTTCTTATACTCAGTTTGCTTTTTCACTTAATAATGTATCTTGGAAATCGCTCATTCTCAGTTCATCCAGCTGTTGCTCATTCTTTTTACAGCCCTGCGTTAACAAGAAATTCTGGTAAAGTACGCATAACAAAATTTACCATTTTAACTGTTTCGTTTTTTTTCCATTTTAAGTGTTTTCACCTTTCCGAACTGAAACTCTGTCCCCATTAAACATTAACCCCCTCCCCCTCGCCCAGCCCCTGGCGCCCACCCTTCTACTTCCTGTCTCTACTCCAGGGACCTCCTATAAGTATAACCATATAGCGTTTGTCCTTTGCATCTGGCTTTTTCTGTATTGCTTTTGACATTTGAGAGACTTAAAAGATAGAAATAAAGGATCATCATATATTGATTAAAATAAAGCCACTTTGGCTCCCTGAACCTCCAGTATGAGTTTACTTTTTAAATTTTAGAAATCCATCCAAGTATCCATGAGAAGCACAGTGTTTTGTTTCCCTGTGTTCCCAGCGTCCCTGAATGTGTAATGTTGCATCTGGGTGTGCAGCCCGTGTTGTCCACCCAACATTGTTTTGAGATCTGCCATGTGTGGCTCCCATGGAGCTAGTGTGTTCCTGCTAAGTGCTGTGTGTGGCAGCCCCGCAAGTGGATTCATCACGCCGTGTGTCTGTTCTGTTGAGGGAGATCTTGGTGGTTTCCATTGTTTCTCTGCTCTAGTGGGTATCCTCGTGCGGGCTTTCCTGGGTGCAGCTGCGCGGGTCCCTGAGGTGGCACTGCGGGCTGTGCCCGGGAGATTGCCCAGCTGCTTGCTGTCCAGGACGGCTCTCCTAAGCCCGGCTTCCCTGTGGGTGTGAGAGTTCTTGGCTCATGGCCTTGCCCACGCGAGACATGCCAGACTCTCCCAGGGCTACCGGGTGAGCGTGTCCTCCTGCCGTGTGAGCTGGCGTCGCGTCTGTTTCCAAGGAGCATCGCTTGATGTGCTAATTGCCCGGTATCGTCTCCTCGTTTGTGACCATCTCTTCACAGCCCTTGGGGACTCTCCTGTGGGGTTCCTTTCGGGAGGGGGTGGGGGACTTGGGACCAGCGAGCCTGTGCTGCAGCCACCTGTGCTGGCGCCTGTTGTGGGCCCCCGGCCTCGAGTCCTGAGGCTGCTTCTGTCCTCCCAGCTTTCCCTGCCCACTGTGTTCACTGTTGATTCAGGTTATGGCTGTGGGTTTAATGCCATCCCGCACTGGCCCCCGTATACCCTAAGCTTCCTCTTAAATCTCTCCTGTACCTTGGTCTGAGAACCTAGGTAGCAAAGCCTCTTGGTTTGTGTGCAAAGTACAGCTCCGTGGGCTTTGAGTGATGGCTACGGGGAATCTCCCTGGCGACTGCCAGACGTGAACTTGACTGCTGCGTGTGCAGAAGGTTCAAAGCCTTCCTGTAAACGCAGGTCCCGCTGTGTGTTAACTGAGCGAGTTGCCAGATACCTTTGGTCAAGTGAGTGTTTACTGTCTGTCCAGCAGGAGGTGGTGACTTGGCTTTGCCTGAGATCTGTAGGG